CCTGCTCTTTCAAACGACTAGTTATCTCCAATATCACTCGTTTACATTTTTTCCAACAGTGAGCAACGTTTGCCTCTGGACGAGAGACTGTATACGAATTTCTTCTTTTAAAATCATTTTTGTCTACAAAAAGGCTTTCCTAATATTATTTATTACCCGGGTTGACCTCCATAGACCAAAAGTGCTTGTCATACATTTCCATAAACTAAGTCTATGATAAAATATTGGTCATACAAATTTCATACATTTTACAAAAACGGTGTCATCGAAATTTCGAACAATTTTTTTTCTTGTTTTTTTCTTGTTCATACCAAATAAAAAAGAAAAACAAAAAACGCTAGTCATACAATTTTTCCAAGTAATTTTGAAATTGGCCTAAAAAGTTTTTTTTTTCAACCGCAATCAAATTTTGTACTAAAAAAAACATTTTTCAAAACTTTTTTTTTCTGCATGCAAAATTTATTTTGTGTGCATAATGTAGTCCTGGATACACTAATATTGTACTGTACAATTGAGTAACCAAGGTTTTTGTCACTTGTGTTCGGTTACAAACACAACCAAAAAGTTTTGAGAAATTAAAATGTAAAAAGTCAATATTTTTGGTGTATGGAAAAATGCTAGTCATACAATTTCCATATATGAAAAATCACTAATCAAAGACCTTTCATGCAATTTTCTGTACTTATGGAACTGCATGAAAAGTGTATGATTATCAATTTTTCATATATGAAAATTGTATGAGTAGCATTTTTGGTCAACCCAGGTAGTCACCGGGGGCGGTCATCGCGAAAGCAAAATCGCAGCTTACCTTTGATGCCGTAGGTTCAACTTTTACCAGACCATCATCTTTTCCTCCTGGTTTTCCTTAATCGCTAGTCCTGATTTGTGTTATGGTTCAGGGGCGGATTTAGGGGGAGGGCGGGGGGCGGACGCCCCCCCCCCCCTCAGGGATTCGAACCCCTGCCAACCCAAAGGGTCCCCCCTTTGGTACTTTTTAAGAAATCCATTTTTGGCCGACCGACCCTAAAATTTTTCTAAAGGCGCCTTTGGCGCCAATATATACTAATTTTGAGGGGGAGCGCGCGCCAATAAGTAAAGTCTTTATAGCGTCATGGAAGAGCTCGGAAAATCAATTGGTTGGGCCAATAAAATCCCCCCCCCAGCCTCGTAGTGATGCTAGGATGTGGCGTTATCTCACTGTTTGATTGCATAGGCGTCGTTCAAGTCATACTACGAGCGCATCTTGTCCCACTACCCGGATGAGAGCAAGAGACAGATTGTCATGCCCAATCGGGACCTGCCGTCTCTGCTCCACGAACACCTCAGGTGAAGAGAAAAGAAAAAGGCTGTTTTTACTCCCTTTTTATTAACGAATGGGTGGTTGTTTTTCAAAGTTTTTCCGGAGATGCCTTTACAAAACAGTTAGAATTGAATAGACAAAAATAGTTGTCATCAACTATGAACAACGGAGAATATTACCCTTGTGAAAAAGTTTGCAGCCAAAAAGTTTGCAGGCGGTTAATCGGTCGAATTTCAATAAAACCAGCGCCAATCTGGTTTTTGAGCGGGTTTCGATTACTCTACCATAGTGTATATCAGTAATGAATTTAGAGATGGATGTACCCACCCTCTCTCAGGGATTCGAAACCCTGCCCACCCAAAGGGCCTTCCTTTGGTACCATTCTAGGACATCGATTTTTAGCCGACACCGAATCTAAAATTTTTCAGCCGACATCGACCCTTTGGGTACGTATTTGTACGTAGCCAATATGTACAATTTTGATTAATCAAAGTCTTCCAAAAAGAGCCCAAAACGTCTTTTTTAGCCTGTGGCTTGTTTTTTCAAAAAATTGTTTGTGGCACGAAAAAATTGCAAAAATAGGGAGAGCTCGGAAAATATCAATTAAGTTGGCCTAAAAAATGGTGGACCTAAATTTTTTGAAAAACCCCAATCGAGAAAATCATAGGTCTTCCCCTGGTCTATACTAAAGAATATTCACCTTTAATCATAAAACATACCAGGGGCATATATATATATATATATATATATATATATTTATATATATATATATATATATATATCTTGAACTTACAATTTACACAAGAGTAAAGCGAGTTTTAGAAACCTTTCATAAATTTTGCCGACTTTTTTTTTGATTGACCAAATTGATTTCGCACGGTCTTTAAAACTCGGTAGTTGGTTTTTCAAGGTCGTTTTAGCTCACGCTCCCCTAAAATTTACTATATTGGTAATGAAAGCGCATTTAGAAAAAGTTTAGGGTGCGTCGACCGAGCCCAGTTGTTTACCATGGCTGGTCAAAAAAACTGAAGTGTTGTACGTATTTGTGCTATCTAGATGTGAGCTGAACAGTTCGTCTTACGTGGAGGAAACGAAGAAGAGGTTCGACTCCTATGTCGCCCGCGGATTCCCCAACGACGACAGTTTCGTCCACATACTGACCATGTGCTACGCTCCCAAGTACTACGGCATGAACGACTCTGTGTTCGACAAGTTCATTCACACCCACAACAGTCCCGAACACTTTTATAAGATACCAGCGGGATACTTCACAAACAACATCACCCAGTTCCGCCTCCTCTTCAACCTCACCACCCAACAGCCCCCCTTCAATCAAATGCTCCTCCTGTGGCACCCCACAAGACTCACCGACTGCGGATACTACGCGTAAGAGCAAAATAACACCCCCCCCCCCGCGCTCCTAGACATGTGCAGCAATTCTTTGACAGGGGTCGTGGGCTTCCTTTTTGATGAAATTGCTATCGTGTATCGTGTTATTCTATCGATACTTTATTACTGAAACCTTCTAAAAGTCTTTCGTCAGATTCCGGAGAGAAAGAGAGAGAGAGAGAGTAAAAAAACTGTTTCACAGTGACGAAAGTTTGGCTAATTCTGTTTTCACACTGATTAACAGATGAAAAACGGATGATCCAAATACTTTATTCCCGCCGATTAACTTCTGTTTTGCTACACTTAGCTAATAACATTCAATTTACGGCATATTTATTTTCCACTCTTGTAGGCAGACGTCAAAAAATCTTGTCAAATCTTTGTTTCTTCTTTTAAAAAATTTTGTTTAGAACGTGATTAGTATGGTCGGTCGCATAAGTCTGCGCCACCCTTGTTTGAAGAGTATTTTTCTGTTCTTTGCATTATACAAAAACGATCAGCCGTCGGTGAAAAGACGGTCAGAGAAAAACTGCCCTGAAAAATGCTTTAAAAGCGTGTGTTGGAATGTGAAAGCGGTCATATTGGGGTTTTAAAAAAAAATAATAAACTGTTTTCAGGCTAGTTATTCAGTAGTGCTTCTTATAGACCACTTTAATAACCATTAAACATCAGCCTGAGAGATAATTATGAGACCTTCTCGTCTGTTTTCAGACTTCTCTGAGCAAAAATAAGAAATTTATTTTCTTAATAAAGTCCGATTTTCATCGGTTTCAAACAAGTCCGGCCTTTTGACAAAAATAAGAAAAAGAGGAACTATTAAAAACAACCTGTTGAGATATTATTTTAAATTCCCTAGCTGTCAATTGTGTTCAAAAAACTTTCATTGTTTAAAATGAAGTTATCTAAGAAAAGGCGTTTTTTTCTGTTTGTGGCTGTTTTAAACATTTTCTAGGTAAACCCATCCCAATTTATTTCATAGTTAAAGATGCAACTGAGCATTTTTCTTAACCTTTTATGCAGTGAAAATTTGCACCAGCCGATAAAATTTTCCTGTTTCTTGTTTGTTTTAATAATTTACTCATGTCTTCATCAGTTACATCGTTGCGTAAAGTATCTATTGGGCAATTTTTTTGGATTGAAAATTTATACGTTCATAATTGTGAAGCTCGGTAGATGTAAACGTTTTAAGTATTTCCCGTGCTAATCTTAATGTGTCGAATCTACGCTCAAAAAAAATGATTCTGTATAGTCTTTTGAGATCTTTATCCAGTTGTTTCATAACACATTTATTTGAAGTACCATATATGACAACTCCATAATGAACAAACGCTTTGTTAACACGTATCAACTGTTTAGTGTTTGAGATTTTTCTTATTTGATAGAATAAACCGCAAAATGTGTTTACATTTTTCCTGAGAATAGAAAAGTGATTAACTTAACTTAAAACTTTGTCTTGTTTTCCCAAGTACCCAAATGATTTCGTGTATTCATTATCACTTTTATTCACTCGTGCTTCGATAAAAATTTTCTGTTTTGATTTTTGGAATTTCATTGTTTTTGTTTTATTGATATTGAGGATGAGAGTGTTTTCTTTCAGCCAACGCTCAGTTTTGCTTAGCGCTGTTTGTTGCTCTTGAGTTAATGAAGCATTCAATGCAGAAATTAAAACTGCAGTTTCGTCCGCATATAGAAAAGTATGTGTATTTTGTTGACTTGAGGATAATTCATTTTTAAAATAAGGAAAAAAAAAGGGACAAACATTTCAACCCTGCCGCACTCCATAAGAGTTTTTTCAATGATGATTTACGTTCACTGAGATAAGTAAACTGTGTCCTGTTTTCAAAGTAGGACGTCGAAAGTCCGAAAATGGGATCACGAGATCCATAAGATTAGCATTTTTTGAGGTTGTTTATGGTCAACCGTGTCGAAAGCTCTTTTTAGATCAAGAAAATACTTTGCGTTGATTTTTTTTATTGTTCCACTCAAACTGATCGTTTTGATGGGTGACACTACCGCATTGATCGAACTTCGATCGTGTCTGAAGCCAAATTGGTATTCTGTAGATTTTTTTGATTCTTGAAAAACTCGTTTTTTCTATTGAACATTGGTCTTTTAAACAGTTAACCCGAAGCAAGAAGTAAAGAAATTGGTTTGTTTTTAAAAACATGGTTTACGTTTAGATCTATCATTTTGAACCTGAAACTTTTTGGTGTTTTTTAAAACACGCTGGTAATTATTTTTTTTTTTCAAAAATTTTTTGGAATAATTCTTTCAGCACTGGTAGAACTTCGTTTACTAAAGATTTCAAGAAGACATAATTCAGATCCAAGCAATCTGTAGTATATTTCGATTTTAATTTTTTAGGATCTCAAGAACTTCAGCCATTTCAACCGGCATTAAAAACAGTGTTTGTAAATTTTTTCGCCGCTTCTTATCTTTGCCGCTTTTTTCATCTCTCTTGCTTATTGTTCTCCAATAGTTGAAAAATAGTAATTGAAATCTCCGACTTTAACCGGTTAACTCATTGACAGTTTTGAAAAGTTCCCGGCAATTACTGCTAGCCTCTGCATTAAATTTCTATGATTTAATATGATTTAAGGTGATAGTAGCATGATTTTTGCTGGTAAAGTATCAGATGCTTAATTTTTTTTGCCTGAACATTATATAATTCACGGTTTATGGACGAGTTTTGATTGCGATGAATATGCCTCAATCTATGCTTCGCCTTTGCTGCATTTTTAATGATGTTATCTACTCATACTTTTTCTTTTTTAATCTTTTTTTCTTGTAGAAAATTGTCTAGTTTTTCAGTTAGAACTGTAATCAAATTGCGGAATGCGTTTCATATTCAAGATTTGTGATGTTGTAACAATATTCTGATAGTTTTTTGTCCTGATTTTTTTTGAGGTTCTGTACAAACTTGAGGTTAGTCAGTTTCTTCCATTGTCTGCATCGAAACTTAACTGGAGTTGAAGATTCAAGTATTGTTTTCGTTTCTTATAATACAGTGTAATGATCTGAAATTTCGATCAATTTGGTTCAAGTGTCGGTGTTTTTGTGTTTAGTAACCTCGAGTATCGAGTAGTACCCCAAAAAATATTTGAAAGTTCAACAAATTTTTTTGAGGTTCCTGCTCCGTTTGTGTTGAAGTCACCGCAATCAATTTGCGTTGCATCTGGAGGAATGATTCAATTTTCCAAGTGTGTTTCCAATGTACAAAATGTTTGTTTATTAACTGAGCTATGGGGTATGTAAACACGTGTGATAAAAGAATTTTTCATTTTAGCTTTGATCTGTATAGTTAAAACTTGTATTTTGTATGAAGTTGGTTGATTTATTATCTTATAATTTAAATCGTCTCTGATGAAAGTTCCAACCTTCCGCCTTTCTTTGCGACACCTTGTTTCGGTATTATGATAGTCGCTTATTTTGTAAACAGATTCAATATGTTTTTCTATTAGCCAAGTTTCACATCAGTTATGCAAATTGCGATTGGTTTTCCGTTCAAAGTTTCCTTCAATGCCATTAGCTCCTGAAAACTTATTGGTAATGATCGCGCATTTTGTAAAAGAACATATCCATTTTAATTTTGCTATTTAAGGATGTTGCTTAGGGGCGCAGACTTCATCTACAACTACACTCGGTCCAATTGGGACACTCTGTGGAATAAGATGCCACAGGACGCTGTCAGGGCCTTCTTAGTAGAAATACACTTCAAGTCACTACCCTACACACAGGCATGTAAAAACTACTGATGCTCCAAATGATCCACCGTCCCCGGTTTTTTTTTCTATTAAACCGCCCCCGCAAACTAGTACCACCCATTAAAACGAAAATTCTACTGCGTTGGGAATATTATCATTTTTTGTTAGGGTTTTATTATTAGGCTACCATAGTAATGCTACAGTGATTCATGAGAATTTCACTCAATTCATAAGATAGTTTACAAATTAATAACAAGCCTTTTCGTTTCAAGCCACAGCTCTGAATAATTCGATTGCTCCTACAGTACGGCAATTTTTTCACGAAACTTGAAATTTAAAACTTTTTTAAACATTCCCCCACGCGTTATATATTTTACAAAGTGATATAATACGCAGGCGTCTAGCAAGGTTTTTGGCTATCAATGGTGTCCGCCAAAAAAAAGACGACAGCTGTTAAGACGACAACCGCTACATGCAATTCTCCACATTGTATTTGTGAGAAATTTAAACAGTTAAATTTGAACTGCTCATTTTATGTGCAAAAAAGTTCATTTGTCGCCTTAATGTCCTGTCGTCCTATGGGCCTGTTGTCTTTTCTCCCTAGCCCTAGCACCGGTATCAATAGTTCCAAATACCATGCATCCCCGCACTCAGTAAAAAGAGAAAATAATAGATTATAGTAGATTTTTATTGTCAGTCTTCCTAAATTTCAAAAAGAATCAATTATGATCGATTAAAAAAGAATTATAAAGTTTTTCGAAACAATAAAAACCATTATAATCAAATGCGATCCATTATGATTGATTATTTTTTTTGAAAAAATATTCTCAAATTTTATTGAATTATAATCCATTTTAATGGGATGATAATCCATTATTATTCAACCAACGTCATCGCTTCATTTCGTTTTATTTTTGTTTTGTTTTGTAAGCGGCTCAGTTGATCTGCTTTTAATGGGACTGGGTCAGCCTCATCTTTTTCCGGAATTCAAACCGGAATTTTATTATAACTGGGATGGTTACTGGGATCTTTTTACTGCTTCTCAGTTTCTCGATTGGCGCTTATAATGTAAATTGGCGCTTATAATGTATCAGAGTTTGGCTAAAAGTACGAATATAATTATAAAACAATCGATTATTTTCTCTTTTTACTCGATTTCGCGGGTCGATTTCTGATCCGGGTTTAGAAGCCGCTGACGCTGGTCTAGGGCAACAGGCCGACGAGACTTCAAACCGAAGGGATTTCAAGTCGAAATTTAAATTTTACAAGCACCTCAAATCACTGTTTTTCATCTGTAAAATGTTGATTTTCAAAAGCTTAGCCAAATTTAGTCCATAACAATGCCTCACTTAGGATTGATATCCGTGAAAAATGCATAAGCCGGTCTTTGAAATGCATAAATTAAAAAAAGGAAAATTGTCTTCAACCACAGTGTTTTGTTTTTCAACTTTCCTAAACATCATGTGGAGGCCTAAACTGTAATCAAAATGCCAATAAAAAAGAAGAAACGTCAATAAATTAAGTAATTCTTCAGAAAAGTTTTCAAATTAATCATATTTCATGACTTAATGAGAAAAATATCGGCTTGCAGTCCTTAACTTTACAATTCGTCGTGAAGCCGAAAAAGATCACCCCAAGCACAAATATTTAAATACTTTTGTTTTTTTTTTCAGAAAGTCGGAACAATGACCCATGCTTACTGCGATAGTGAAATGGGTAGATACTAAAATCAGTTTACGCTAATTTTTTGGCTAATTTTTACTTTCGTATAAAAAACTGGAAAATTGAGACGCCAAAAAACGAAATAGGAGCGAGAAATGAAGTCATAAGACGATGTAGCATTAAACTGAGATCCCATCAATTAAAGAGCCTCTACAGTGGCCAGTGTTTGGTCCAAGCAATTACAGGTTAGAATTGAGCTGGTTACTATTTTGGCGTCAATCAGTTTTCGGTTCTGGCAATTTCCGAGTCGAGATTTTTAACCTAATTTGAAGCAAGATTTGAGAGGTTTGAGTGGTTTTTTTTACACAATTACGCTCAAAATCTTGCTTCAAAATGAGCGGTTTGAGCGGTTTTTGAACGGTTTATTCAACAAAAATTTTTGTGGTACCTGATTATGCGTGGAACAAAAACAAAAGGAAAATTGTAAAACACACCCGAATACAAAGGTCCTCCACATTTTTCAAATGGTCAGTGAAAAGTATCTTGCTTGAGTTGAAAACGGTTAAGCACATTTTTTAAATTGTATATAGTACTTCAACTGGATCTTAGCGTCACAGTACCTTTTACCGGCCTTTTGATGGTTTTAATCGGTATTTTCTTTCTAAGACCGCTCAAAAACCGCTTAAAAACCGCTCAAATCTGGCTTGAAAAACCGTTCAAAAATCACCACAAGAAATGAGCGGTTTTTGAGCGGTTTTTTAAGCAAGATTTGAGCGGTTTGAGCGGTTTTTCCAAAAAAAACCGCCCAAACCGCTCAAACCGCTCAAATCTTGCCGGAAAACCGCTCAAACCGCTCATATCTTGAGCGGTTTTTGGGCGGAATCTCGACCCGGGATTGCCAGAAGTCGGTAAGTTTTCGACTATCCGGAGAGCAAAAAATTGTACGAGATTTCGGCTTCGCGACACTCCATTGTTATCATTTGCTATGCTTCGCTCCGCTTACATTCGGCACGAATTATAACGAGCAAATCAGTGCTCGCCGTTAGTCTATGCTCCGCCCAATCACATGAACTTTAATGAATTGGCCGATCAGAAAGTAGAAAAGTTAACTTGTTGACGCTTTGAGATGATATTTTTTGGTGACACGTAAATTTGAATGTGGTTTCAGGAGAAGCTGGAAGACATGAAGCGGTTCGAGGCCGAGAGATTTGAGGAGTTGGGAGCTGTGCAGAATAAGTTCTTGGATGTGAAGAGCAGACTGCAGAGGTATGTGAACTGGGCCAACAAGGGATACCTGCAGATGATGAACAAGTGGACTGCGAGGAAACCAGAGAACCAAATATGACGACGAATATAGGCGCTACTCTGATACGATCACGACACTACTACAAGATCCGAATAGAAAATAACGGCTATTCTCGCGCCAATATTTTTCGTGCCAATCGAAACCTTTGAAACGGAAAAAACAAACTGATACTTAGTGGCTCCTTTCTTAAAACTTTCAATATCCGACTTTTTTTGATTGGCTTGTATTTTTTGTCATTTCAGCCAGGGGCGGATATAGGAATTTCTGGAGCGGAGGGATTTTTGAAGGTCGACCAAATTGATTTTCCGAGCTATCTCAAATCACTAAAAAGACTCTGTTTGGGTCAAATTTTAAGCGCCGCAGCCAAACTTTTTAAAAAACAGGCCAAAAAAACTTTTTGGAAAATGTTGACCAAACTCGCGTTTTTTGGCGCGTGCTCTCCCCTCAAAATTAATACATATTGGCGCCAAAGGCTCCTTTAGGAAAAATTAGAGTTGCTTGTCCAAAAGTGGATTTTTTAAAAAGTTCCAAGGGGACCCTTTGGGTAGGTAGTGAGTCGAATCCCTGAGGGAGAGACGCGTCCGCCCCCCCCCCCCCGCCTGAATCCGCCTCTGATTTCAGCCATAAGTTGACACACCTCCCCCCAAAAAATACTTAACACACCTACCCCCGAAAAAAGTCCTGTTGCTCTTTTCTTCATTTCGGGCTACAATTTATTGCAATGTGTTCTCTTGAAGCTCATAATCGCAAAACTAACCATAAAATAAATTAACCATTAGTTAGCTAGTTTTTCTTGCAATGTGTGTTGTGTGCCCACTTTACTTTTAAAATGTTCAACTCGAAAACTGCAATACACAAACGACAAGGTTACATATCTTAGCAAGAGCGTATATCTGATCTCTCCAGTTGAAACCACTAGATAGAGCTCATCTAGGCAGTCTAGGCAGAGCACATATACTTTTCAGCCTGAACAGTAAAAAGATCTTTATGAGGGTTAAAACTCTCCAAGTTCCTAATTGTATTTTCCATTTCCCCTTTGCTCATCAAGCACTTTTTTACTTTCTCGGCAAAAAGATGTTATAAAAAAACTTCATGAAAATATCTTAGTTATAACCTATTTTGAAACGCTTGCAGATTTTTGTTATATCTATAAAAAAAAATGCCGATAGTCTGAAAGCTTGACGGCAATTCATTTTGGCAAATAACTAACTCCTTCTATTTACAGATTTCTTTATATCATCGGGTAAAAAAAATGCTGATTGTCTGAAAGTTTGGTAACAATTCGTTTTGCACCCTTTCATTGTCCAACTCTATTTTGACATCTGTTCAATCTCCTTTGTCGCCAATTCCTGTTGAGCTCAATTCAGTGCCTCCCTAGCTGTGGCTCTGTAATCTTTCTTTAATTCCTGTGGCGTGACCTCTCACCGCTTGCAACTTCTTTGGCGCCAACTCTTGAGGCTTTTCTTTCTTCTTTGCTTCTGCTTCACTCATCAAGCGCGCCTTGGTTGCTTTGATCCCCGACAGAGCTTTGTCATGTCGTGGATGCTTTGTATATTTCCCTGTATGCCGGAAATGCGGGCTATTAAATTTAGAATTACCCCTTAGGTTACCAAAGGAGCACCTGGGACCAAGTTTTGAGATGAAATCCTTTCTAAATTTAAAGTTTTTGTTTTGTGATGCATCTTTGTCTTCTAGGCAAAAACAAATTGCCTTCATACCTAGCTAGAATGTTGGAAAGACCGATACAAGACGGTCCTTTTAACTCTAATTCGCCCAAGAATCTTCTTTCCAAGTCATCCCGGGACTTGTATCAGCTGTTGCACTGACTTGCAGCTCCTTTGTTAAAAAAAACCAAAACTGTTCTAGTTCAAACCCGCTCGCAGGTGAGGTTTCAGAAGCAGGTATTCCTTGAACTTCAGCCTTTTTCCTGTGGTGCTGGTGTACTAATAGATAGAGGAGTATAGTGCGTCGGTAGCATATTTTCAACTCGATTTCCTTCCCATCATTAAAATTATAGGCTAGGGCCAAATTCATTACTCTGCATGATATGATGATTGAGATTGGGTTTATAAGATACAAAGTTAGCCAACGGATTCGAGAATAAAACGAAAAAATGGTTTCATCAGAACAAAAAAATGTTGCAATCAGTCTGTTGCAATTTGAAACTCGTACGGGTTTCTTAAGAACAACTCTTTCTATCAGTCTTGCACTAAACAGACAAAACTTGAACATCATTTTTTTCCCCTCACGTTAGTGTCTTTTGCACCCGCTGAGTACTATATTTTCCTCCGAATTGCCTGAGCTAGAATTACTAGCACTGTCAGGTCAACCACTCCTCAAAAAATTTGGTTCGGACTTCTATCCAAATTGTCAATAGTCTGTTTCTTGAATTGAATTGAACTGAAATGTATTGACCTTAGTTTGATTGGATCTCATAATGAATTGATCTTATCTTAATGTTGTTTGTTTTAATTAAGCTAAGCTAACAAGTGCAGTCACTAGCTTCTTGTCGATGTCGATCTTTTTAGTTGACCTACTGCACTAGTAATTCTTTGTATTGTTTTTGAGTACACTGTTTGTGCCTGTATTAAATAACGCTCCGTTTTTCCTTATGGTGAAGGATCAGTTTCCTGACCTTCAGTTCCCTTCCGGACGGTGAAGGTCCTGTTTTCCGACTGGTTCGGCTAAGCGTTCTCAACCCTTTGGAACCATCTTGGTTTGGAATTCTTCCAGATTGGCAAAATATGAACTTTTTCGGTTTGGTGTTTTCGAAAACTTTCCGAATCGACGTTCCGGGTGCTCTTACGAATTGGTAAAATAGGGACCCTTCCGGATTTGGCAAAATAAGGACCCTTAGGATCGAGCAATTAAAAATGTTCCGGACCGGCAAAAAGCCCTATTCCGGATTGTCGTTTTCGAGACTCTTCCGGATTAGCGAATTGCGGATCCTTCCAGTTAAGCGCAATAAAAACCTTTCCGGATTGAGTTTTTCGAGACCGACACGGGTTGGCATTTTGGAGACCTCTCCTGGTTTGATCTTCTTCCGGATTAACGAAAAAAATGGCTTCTTTCGGATTGGCGTTTTGAGGTCCCTTCCAAATTGGTGAAATGGGGATCTTTCTGCATCGGCGTTTTCGAAACACTTCCGTATTGGCGTTATGGGGATCCGTCCGGGGGCGGTCTTGTCTCTCATCGTATTAAAATAAACAACAAAGAAGGCTTTTTCTTTTGTTCTTGCATCCCTCCAACTACAAAATAAAATAAAATCCTACCTAACAGCGCAAAACTGATCTTTTTGACTATTCGAACTTTTACAAGTGTAATCAGGGATTGTTCTGCGGCTTCAATCTAAAATTTAAAGCTTTCAGGTCCCCCTTTGTTGACTTCGCGTTTCTCCTGGTAAAAAAAAGACGCCTTACGATTTTGGACGTAGTCCAGTTGATTGACCCACAAATTGTTGAACATCATCTCGCTTGATCACCATCTACCCTTGGGATCAGTTTCAAGGCTACCATAGCATATACAAACTGTAGAAGACTCTAGCAAGTAAGCGTAACCTGGAGATAGCGCAAGGATTATCTGCACGACCTTTGTTGTGAAACATCGGCTCACAGATTTCTCATTGTATACCATGGCAAACAGGAGTGTTGTCAGTGCTTCTGCAATTGTTTCGTGATCGGGATCCAACACATCAATGAGTCTGCCTTGCAACCCTCGTCTGTGCAAGTGGTCGTTTGCTCCAGCTTTTTTAGTACAACTGGATCCATCCTAGTGACCTTGTGCACACTTTTGGCCATTGAGCCAGATTATCCAGAGCCCATAAATCAGGAGCCGTGAGAAAATCACATTAGTTCTTGATGAGTGAACAAATTCGTCTGAACTGGTCACACTATCAATATGTTCGCCTTCTTGATCTACAGAGGGTCATAAGTTGCAATCAGTATGTCGCCCAGTCATAACTTCAGATATCTGAATCTTCTGTCGTCCTTATCGTTCGGATTCATCCGAAAATAGTTTTGCGGATGTTTTTTTTAGCTTTTTGGCCAGGAGGCTTAAAAACTATCTGAACATCTTGCAATATTAGTTTTTGTGTTTTTTTTCTCGGAGAGGAATTTTGTATTTTGTCTTGGAGAAACTTTTTCCCACACGTTTTGAGTGTCCAATCGTGAAATTTTGCGGTAAACCTTCAACATTCTTAGTCTCAGCATGCTTTCAGTATTGAATTTTTTTCTTGAAGGATCCCATCTACTCCAAGTATCCGTTATAAAATCAAAACCAAGGGGTCTTCTCCATCGTTCGAAACGTGAGCTTTTCCATATCGAGTAACCATTCTGTATTGCGTCCAGTTACGATTCCGGTCTGGATCACATCAAGCCGCTGTATTGATCAGGCACCACTATGTGTGATGTCAGCTCGAGAACTGCCTTGCATGTCTGGAGGCACTGGCAAAGGGGTCTTAGAAACGGTGGATGCCAGAGAGGTAGTTGATTCCAGCTCATTGGGTCTTCCAAGTCTACTCTCTAGGGCTTGCCAATAAGGAGTGGTGATGTTCTCATATCTATCTATCAATTCCCAGCTAGGATTGAACGCTCTTGCAGTCGCTTCCGGGCCCAGGGTCTCAGACGATTAGGAAGTGTTTCTCTGGCCAGAAGGCTTTCAATTTTTTGCGGGCTCAGTCCGATTCAGTACGCCCATTTTCTTCATTATCGCTTCTAATTCTTCCCCTTTTGTCTGACATGACAGCTTTGTCTGCCTGATAGGTTTTAAGTGTTGTCTTTGTTGACAATACGATGGTCGGTCAATTGCAGAATGGCTTTTATATCCAATAACCTGAGTTCGTTTGGGCTCCTGTGTTCGCTGATGAAATCGGCCTCCGGGTTTATAGGAACTGTACATGAAACATTGATCCTCTGATTGAACTTGTTTTACAGCTCATTCAACAGACGAATCATTATTGATGCTTTTTTCTACTTCAGGTGAAATGAGTGTCCTAGAGACGCTATTTGTGCCCAGCAAGACTATAATTGTGACCACTTTATCTTCGCTTAGGAAATTCGTCATTTTGATGGGTAAAGCTGCTGAAGCTCCGCCAAAAGAAGCTACAGTGGTTTGCACACCCGTTCATACTTCTGCCAAATATCTCACCAAGCTATCTCCAGTTATTAGATATCTGCAACCAGGAGGAATAATTTGTTGAACCAACGCTGGGTTCCAAGACCAGCTGTTGAAACAAGTCCTTGGCTGGTCCAAAACCAACTGGACAAAAGGTGTCCTCGCATTAAGATCTTTTTCAAAATCACCCTTACTTGATCTCATTTTTGCCTCACTGTGCGCGGGACTATCTGA